ACACCCACCATGCGCAGGGGGAAGAGCCCGGAGCGACGCTGGGGCTGCACGAGGACCTGACCCAGCGGCTCCGGCCACGGCACCGCCCCGGGACGGGGCTGGCTCCAGCCACATCCAGCACACCCGGGCACACCCGGGCACACTCTGACACACCCGGGCACACTCTGACACACCCGGGCACACCCAGGCACACTCTGACACACCCGGGCACACTCTGACACACCCGGGCACACCTGGGCACACTCTGACACACCCAGGCACACCCGGGCACACTCTGACACACCCGGGCACACTCTGACACACCTGGCCACACTCAGGTACACTCTGACACACCCGGGCACACTCTGACACACCCGGGCACACCCAGGCACACTCTGACATACCTGGGCACACTCAGGCACACTCTGACACACCCGGGCACACCCGGGCACACTCTGACACACCCGGGCACACTCTGACACACCTGGGCACACTCGGGTACACTCTGACACACCCGGGCACACTCTGACACACCCGGGCACACCCGGGCACACTCTGACACACCTGGCCACACTCGGGTACACTCTGACACACCCGGGCACACCCGGGCACACTCTGACACACCCGGGCACACTCGGGCACACTCTGACACACCCGGGCACACTCTGACACACCCGGGCACACTCGGGTACACTCTGACACACCCGGGCACACCCCGGCACACTTTGACACACCCGGGCACACTCAGACACACCCATGTACACCCGGGCACGCCCATACACACCCGGGCACACCCAGGAACACCCGGGCACACCCATACACACCCACACACAGCCGGGCACACCCACACACACCCATACACACCCGGGCACACCCATACACACCCATACACACCCATACACACCCACACACCCACACACAGCCGGGCACACCCAGACACACCCAGACACACCCACACACACCCATACACACCCGGGCACACCCATACACAGCCGGGTACACCCGGGCACACCCACACACACCCGGGCACACCCACACACACCCACACACACCCACACACACCCACACACACCCCCACACACCCACACACAGCCCGTCCCGCTCGGCGCCGTTCGCGGTCCCGCTCCCGTCCCGTCCCCTCCCGGCCGCGCGGGGATTCCCTGCCCGCTGCTGCCCCCTGGCGGCTCCGGCAGCCCATCCCCCTGCGCGGAAGGCGGCGCCGGCGGGTCCCGCGATCCCGGGCTGCCGCGGGAATGACTCCTCCTAGCCAGGGCAGGGACACCTCCCGC